TTAGCTGCTAATTTTCTGATTATAGTTATCATTCTTTCTTTACTGTTTACATAGAATTACTTTTTTTCTCTGGAGTATATATTATTATTTGGTCATGCACTTGTAAAGAGGACTTACTATGTGCTAGTTACATTTCTTAGAGTTTAACCTGAATTAATGTAACCTTCACACCCTGTTTACAGATGAAGAAATTGAAGCACACAGAGATCAGAGATTAATTTTCCCAAAATCACACAGCAATTAAGAGGCACAGGTAGGATTGAAATGCTGCCTGTCTGGCTTGAGAGTCTGCACTCTTCACTAACCATATACCTCCTCTGTACAGGTGAAAGGGAATAAGATTTCTAGCTATTCCTCAGATTCTTAGCCTGGCTTTCTTGCAGAACTGTGCTTGTTAGTTGAATTGATTATTTTCCTGCACTTTTGACTTCAGACCTTTAATCTATGGGAAGTTTTTTTTATAGATGAGTGATTTGGGATATTGTAATACTTGGCTTTAACTATTGAATACTATGTATCATATATGGAAAGTATGATTTTCTGGACTTAAACTAGTTCTTAAGTTTCAGATGAAGTTAAACTGTTAATCATATGGAAAACACAGAATCAACATACAGAGCTTTTAGTGAGAATTATGAGTGGTCATTACAGTGTTTTGATTTTTAAAATGTTGCCTTTTGTGAGCTATATTCATCAACTCCTGAGATAACTAGAATTAAGTCAAGGGTGAGAAGATGAAAATTTAGAATAGAAATAATAAAATGTGTCTTAATTTTTAGCTTTTAAAAATATCACTTACCCGTTAAAATTATTTCATTTCAAATTGTCAGGACTTAGTTAACTAGAAAATCATTTATCATGTTTATTATTTTTCTTGAGAGAAATACGTGAGAAATTTAACTTTATGATCATTATTATTTTCTTACCGTAGAGCGTTTCTTGAGTCCATATTTTATCACAGTGGACTTTGTAGATTCAGTGGTAAAATATACTTGACTACTTATATGATTCTTGGCTACATTCAAAGTATTTGTCTGATTTTTTTTCCTAGATAATCTATTATTTTAAATGTGATTCTTACATTTCTTGAGTGAAAAAAGTTACAAGCATGTGATAGATTTAAGTATTAGATAATATGTATTAACAACCAATTTTTATTTTTATTTTGGCAAGATGAGCAAATAAGTGCTTTTTATTGTCCAGATTATGGTAGTACTTCTAATGTTGGTAATCTTCAATACAGTTTTAAGTAGCCTTCTATTACAAGAGACAGCATTCCTTTCCTCCCTCATTTCCTTTCTTTCTCTTCCTCTTCCTCCTCCTTTCTCTTTTTATTTTTCTAAAATAAAAAATAATCAGAATATATCCTGCATTTTATACATTTTACATACCACTATTGAATTTCCTTGAAAACTTAATATCTAGATAGTTTTTACATTTGAGTACTGAATATTGTATTGCCTAATTTTATTTATTGACCACTCTAGTTTTTTTAAAATAGATCTTAAAGTAAGTGGCATATACTACAGTTGAGTGCTGAGTCATTGTAGTTGTCATATGTTTTTGGTCTTAGGAAGATTCCCCACTGAGTTTATAGTAGAAAGAGAAAACATCCATCTGTTTCTTTTCCACTTCAGTTTTCTGTCCATCCTCTCATCTCCTATAAAATAATTATTTGCTGGCTAGATACCCTTTTTCTCTTTCTTAAGTTGATAAAAATTACAGCCTTTGGTACCATACTCAAAACACCTTGCCTGGTGCCCCGATATGGCCGGGGAAAAGGAGGTGGGAGTGTTACAGCTCTCATATATAGGCTTGGGAGAAGGGCAGGTCGATGTAGTCCACTCCAGCTCTACTCCAGGACAGCCTTTGAGATCACAGAACTGAGTACATCCTCTTCAGTAGGACAACAGGTGTTGAGATTTATTCTAGGCACAGAGAGTAAATAGAGAAATGATAAGAGTATGTGATAAATCCAAGGAGGAGGCAGAGGATACTGATCAGACTTTGCAGGAATGGGATTGCTTATTACTACTTGGCCTTGCAGGAACCCATATTATCAGTTCTCTACCAGGTATCACTCATTAGCTTTTATGGTGCTAGAAATGGGTAGCTGCAGCCTTTTTTCTGAAAATATATTTATATTGCCCATATACTGGAAATTTAAACCAGTTAAATAGTGTGTGTATATATG